CCTCGCAGCCCTGCGGGCACCAACGCGGCCCTGACAGCCTCACAGCCAAGATGCACCCGGCCCCCGTGGTCATCCTTTGGGAACTGGGTGGCCAAGTATCTCTCGGGACTTGGGTTGCACCTTGCCAGGTTAGTCAGGGACTCTTTAACAGGACGGGCTGCAGGGAAACGCCGTCTGAAGTACCTTACTCCAACGGCCCAACTATGGGATTTTCCCCTCCACCTCTGTTTCCTCTCAGAAATAGCTTTAATTTGCAACATACAAACTTGGAAGGTATCCTTGCTTGCAGCTGAGGAGTCGTTTAGGATTACATCTTTAAATCTTCAGTGCTAAATGTGAAAGTCTGAATTCTCTTTTAATTTGCTTTTGGATGGTAATTTTTTTGAGTCTGGTCCTTATGTATCCTGAACTGTGAAACATATAAAAAACTTTATGAGTGAAGTTTCAGGAAATGTATTTTTTAGAAGTGCTGCAGACAAAAATGCACCAAATGCCTGCATTTGCCATCAGAGCTCTGGTTTTGTTTGTCTCATCCTCTGTTGTAATAGAGATACCACCTTCTTCTGGAGATAGCAATGGATAGACAGTACTGTCAAGGTGAAACAAGATTTCTCTTCTGACACTGTAGTAGAACTAATTGCCCCTCCAGAGCAGATCAGTGTTGGATCATATACCATGCTTAATCAGGCCTTGTGTTTGGCTACTTTGGCAGTATCTTCTTTGCCCTCTTGTACTTCGGCGCTTCACGTGCTTCAGCATATTCAGATTTTTGAATGTGGAGTGGGGTGAAACTCAATTCTGAGGGTTTATAAAATGTGGGCCATGTTGCAAGCATTGTGCGCTCTTGCTGTGAATTGAAGCATACAGAGCATAATCTCGCATTTTTCAGAGCAAATATGTGTCCACGTATACTGGTCACCCAGTGAAAGAGGACAATTGTACTGTAATTAAATAGATATTTGATAAGATATTTTTGTCACTTCTTCACAATAAATGTGGAGATTACACATATAGGAAAAATTGTGGTTGTCAAAGAAATAATGACTACAGGTTTGTTTTCAAAGTAGAATGGAAATAGTCATGTTCACTTATGTGACCAAAAATGTTACTGTAGCAAAAGGTAAAAGGTCACAGGTAATGAGCCCTTGTGGTGTTTGATATAAACTTCCCATTTGAAGACTGTTATTTAATAAGTAAATATTCAACAGTAAATGTGAATGCTGTACACACGATAGGGTGTTATATCAACATGCAGCTAACTTCTGCTAAAAGTCAGTAGTCCTCTAAAATAGCAAACTGCAGAACCCTTCCTTGCATCTGTGCTGGCCAACTGAGAGCATCTGCTCTTGCATTTCAAAGTTGCAATGTGTCAGGAATTCCTACAATTTCTGGAATATAAGAGGGCAGCAAATTAAGAAAAAAACAAAAATCTAATCGTATTATTGAATTTTTAAAAATTTATTACCAACTTTCTTGTTATTCTACTATCTGTTTTTGTAGCCAGAAATAGGCTGTAGTACTTGTCACTTATAATACTGGTAGAAGCCAAGCAACAAAGGAGCTTGTTATTGTTGCTGAAGCATCATGGAAAACATTTAGCTTCCTCCTTCATTAAAACCAAACCAAAAATGCAGCTTTATTTTTTTTTCACCTCAAATAATATGTGTGCAGCGAAGAATTTGTGAAGTACAAATTTGTTAAATATTTTGTCAAACATAGGACACTCGGCCCAATTTCAAAGCGGAAGAGGTGTTTTTGTTCTTTAGCTTGCTTCTGTGAGGCACTTGGAGTCTTTTAAGTCTTTTGCTTCTGTCTTTTCCAATACTAGCGTAATATGAGGCTGGAATAATCATCCATGTAAGGTCACTTTTTATCAGAATCAGACTGCTGAAACAGGTGTTGACTTACCACCCCTGCATGCACTTAGGAGATAAAGATGGCACAGAGTCAATGTTTTGCAACACACTGTAGCAGGAAAAAAAAACATTAGTGCATTTCTGAGCTGCATTTTACAGGACATGGTCTTCAGTACAGTCATTTCATGACTGTTTACATATTCTTTGAGTATATGTGATGGTGTACGCATACAATTTGAAATATTTCCTGTGGGAGTTGGTATCCATCAATGTACTGTTTTTCATTCTATTTTTTTATCTGAGTGTGAATCCGCTTATTAGTTAATGCTGCATTTTGAAAGACACAGATGCTTACCATTATAGCTAATAAATGAAAAAAATGTTATTATTTGCTTATCGTGGCATTGTGACATGATGTAATGGGGCCTGGTCTTACACTTCTTGAATTAGTGTTAAAACTTGTAATGACTTAATGTGAGTAGTATGAAGCCTTTAGCTGATTTTTGAGTCTGGTACCTGATTAAGCCTTCTCTCTTAAAATACAGCACTGCTGGGTGACTGCAGCTTGCTCTGTTGAAATGGCAACAGCACCATTGACCATGCCATCCTATTGCCAAATACACTGAGTTCTTGGCCACGCAGTTATTGCCATTCCAAACCCTAAGCCAAGCAAGATGTTAAAGTTTGGTGTTGAGTTGTAAAATAAAGGGATGATCTGCTCCTGTTGCACAGCTGACCCAGACTGTAATGGGCCAGTGTAATTGTTATGCTCTACTGGAATATTTTAGCTCTATGTTATTTTTAGAAACAAATGTGACTTACTAGGCAAAATGGTTTGCATTTAGTAGTATTAGAAATTCCAATGAATGTTGAGGTTTATGGAATAGCTGTTAAAAAAGGCGGGGGGGGGGAATGCTAATACACTTTAATCCAGGAGGGCCCATGACAGTAATTTCCTTTGTGGTGTAATACTGCATAGAGTTCTCAGAGATATTTGTACCTATGCATAAACTGCTCTGTTTTGTATTTTATCATTACATAATTTTGCTAATGCAAAGCTGGTGAAAATCTTAGTAGAGGAGCTGGTGTACATTGTTCTTACAAATGGACCTAGGAGTATAAGCCATGTCTCAGTTCCCCATACAATGCCTGACATTAAATTGTTGTTGAGTGATGGAGCTGGGCTACTTTCAGAGCAAAAGGTGTGTCAGTAGTTAAGTGTGAAATATAAGGTTTTCACTGAAATACAGTAGGCAGAGGAGACTATAACATAGCAGTTGGTGACATCAGTCATTTATTTGTATCTTACAAGTAAGATCCTACACTCTTAAGAAAGGCTACCTGAAAAATATACTTGAATGAGAATAGCTCTTCAGAAGTATGTAATTTATCAGCCTTCAAAATAGTATTACTTGGTGACTAAATTAAAATTTAATTTTGCTCTAGAATGGAATGTAGTGAAAGCTGAAATACTGCTGATCTTGCATGCAAAAAGAATGGGAGTGAGTATAATACTATAATACTAGTCTGGTTATAGAGTGGCTCTGGTGTTCAGACTGCGCAGACTGTTTACTTCCTGGTGTGTTAGAAGAATAGGTTAATGTTTGCATTTTTTATAAAAGTTTTAACAACCAAAGAGCTGAATGTGATTTGCAATTTAGTAATTGGACTAAACTTTCCTTTTTGTGTTTTTGATCTTGCTAGGTTGGCAGCCTCGTTGGTTTGTTTTAGACAATGGGATATTGTCATACTATGATTCACAGGATGATGTTTGCAAAGGCAGCAAAGGAAGTATAAAGATGGCTGTGTGTGAAATAAAAGGTAACAATTAATAGTTTTCTGCTTGAGGAAATTTTAGCTGCCAGGGAGATAGAAAAGATCACCCAACATACATTTGGCATCACAAGTTCTTCCCCCTCTATTTTTGTTTATCTGTAGTCCAATGTGATTGCTTCATAGTTCACAAACAATAATGAATGTGAATTATGAAGTGGTGACAAAGAAAAAATGTTTTTGTCAGTTAGAGCTCTGTTTTGAGATTTAGAACGCACTATATATTCCTTTTTGTTTTAAATAGTTGTGTGCATGTGCCTTATGCTTGAAATTACCTCGACTCGTTATTTAGTTCTACCACTGTTCCCTCGTATGCCCAGGGATAAGAGACTGAATCATGAATGCTAATTTTTTCAGAAGAGCAGCAGCAGCAGTGACCCAAAAGGGTAGTTTCTTATAAACCAGAGATGTTTAGTCTTTTATTTTCCTGAGTAATTTTTACTTTTGTCACTGTTAGCAGCTGCCCACGTGCATAGGTGATGGATGTATTAGAGTTAGTAAGTGAACTGTTTGTGACAGACTATGAGTTTAGCCTTTAGTGTATTGTAAGCTGTAGATCAACCTCCTTGGCTAATAGCAAAGCATTGTCTAACTCCCCATTGCTTTCAACCCTTGACCTCTTTCCAGATATCCACAGGTGACTGGGCTTGTGATATGGGTACTTGTATATTGAAAAGTGGGACTTCTTATTTTACATGGACCACCAAGTATTTTTCATGTGGCAACTCCTTGTTACTGTTTCGTTGGTGTAGATGAAATCAGTGATGTAAAGTGGAAGATCCCATTTTTGGCCATTCCAGTTGTTCATTTTGCTTGTCATCTTGTTCTTTTGGGGAAGGAAAAGTTGAAGCCTGGATTTGGTGCAGTCTACTGCATCCATGGCTAGTGGGGAGTGCGTCTGGAGGAACCGTGGTTGATAACATGAAACTCGGCAGAGTATTCACTTAAAGATACAATATTGAGTATAGTAGACTGTAAGCAAAGTCCACCTCAGTTCCTGGTTCTAGGACTCTGCGACCTGAAGCCACATTTCATCTAGAAGGGAGATTATTTCAGTTTTTAGCCTAGTCCTCCGTAAATACTTGTCCTTGCCACAAAACCCTTCAGTTTGCCATGTTTAGACCAGCTTTGGAATACAACAGTTATTACAGATTCATACAGAGTATATTGTTAGTGCAGAAAAGGAACCCCGTTGTACTTGAGTCTCGCCCCTGTTCAGCATTCTGTGTTCTTACCTGTTGACTTAAAGGAGTGCTGGGGAGAAGGGTTGAGCAGCTTTGGGCTTTTTGTTATTTAACAGTGGTACATTGTGATTTAGTGTATTACCATGGGATTGCAATAAACATTTTAAAATACTTTGATCAGTGGTTAATAAATAATTGTTACTGAGTTGAGGTTGTTTGGTTTTGTTTTTCTTTTTAAATTGTTTTTTTTCTCCTCTGTCATAAGTTCATGCAACAGATAACACAAGAATGGAGCTTATCATCCCAGGGGAACAGCATTTCTATGTGAAAGCAGTTAATGCAGCTGAAAGGCAAAGGTGGCTGGTAGCACTGGGGAGTGCAAAAGCCTGTTTAGCTGATACCAGAACAAAAAAAGAAAAAGGTATGTGTGTGTGTTACCTAGAGCATATACAATCTTACCACTTTTCAAATGCTTGTTTTCAGATAATGATAGTGCAAATATTGTGGTAGAAAGTCAGTATTATTGTCTTTTTAAATATAAATTGTAATTATTTCTAGTCATCTATATGGTAAATTCCCCCTTGGTGTTTGAAGTAGAGGTCACCTCCATTGACCTCATTGACCTCTTCTATCGTAAGAAGCTGAAATACCAGCGACTTACTGTCGTTACAAGAACAAACATACTGTTTGTAGTTGTTGTGAAGCCATTTCATTTCTATTGTTTTGATTCTTTATAGTTACTATTGTTTTTTCCATAATTTTTCTTGGATGGCTTAATGTAACCATTTCCTGCCACTCTGGTGGGTGTGAATTTCATCCACTAAATTTTTTCTACATTACATTGCAGCTAAGAAAGATTTCAACTTTGTTTTTCCTGGTAATACACTCCTTAATGGTCATTAAATTAGCATCAGTTATCCAAAAGTACAAACTTAACTCATCACATAATCCAATTTTCCTCAAAATTAAGTGACAGTTTAAGTGAATTTTTAAATTGATGCTTAAATGAAAAGTGCTTAAAAGTTAAAATATGTACATACATTGTATGCAATAAACCAATATGTCCTTTATTTTTTATAGAAATAAGCGAGACCAATGAATCTCTTAAAACCAAAATGTCCGAACTTCGTCTCTACTGTGATCTTTTAATGCAGCAAGTTCATACAATACAAGAATTTGTTCACCGTGATGAGACTCGCTCTCCTCCCAGCGTTGAGGTACAGGATTTCTAGAATGCCATTGGAGAACCTAATTATATAATACACCTCAAGTTTCTGTTGACATCTTATGCCTTTTTCATCTCTGTAATTTGGGGAGATTTAACCTAATACCAGTGTTTGAGTGCTTATATGTATATAATACTAACAGTGGTTATATGTGCGTAAAGTGTGTGGATGATTTAACTGTTATTGTAACATGCATTAGGAAGTAATTGCGTTATTGAGTCATTTGGTTAAAAGGCCAGAAGAGCTGCCATAGGAGTTATGAAATAATTTCTCTTGTTTCGCATCTCTGTTATGGGCAGCGTAGTTGAAACTATCTTGTTTGTCCATTCTTTACTTCTTTGTGTAGGAGGGTATTCCATTTTGTTATCAGTGTAAGCTAGTGTTACAGGTATTGGAAAACTGTGGTGTAGATAAGTCTCTCTGAATATGCACAAGTAAAATTATTCCAGTATTCCTGATTTTGAAAGAAAGTACTGGAAATTATGAATGGCTTCATTTTTTACAGTCTTGAGCAGCAGGTGGACAATATTGTTGTACACTTAGGGCAAAGCAAGGGGTTGATACATAGTCACAGCACAGCAAATTGTAGTCAATTTACAGCAAGGTGAAACTGACCTGCAGACTCCTTCCAGCTGTTTGCACATTCTGTTGCAATTAATTTGTTTCACTGAATGATCTTCTGATACCAGTTGCAGTAAAAACATTATGGCATTGTTGGCTGATACCCTAAAGAAATTCAGGTGTCGGAAAGAAATTGCAATGCTGTCATGTTTGTTTGCTTAAATTAACCTCATTGGAAGGTGTACATTTGATTAAATAAAATTGGAAATGGAGGTTCTTGGTAATGAGGGAAATGAGTCTGTGTGGGAGTGGTGGTGCAGGAGAGTTTTATTTGCATATTTTCATTTTTTTTTCTTACTTATGCTTGTGCTTTCATTTATTTTCAGAACATGAATGAAGCCTCTTCCTTGCTTAGTGCCACATGTAATACATTTATCACAACACTTGAAGAATGTGTGAAGATTGCTAATGCCAAGTTTAAGCCAGAAATGTTCCAGCTGTCTCACCCTGATCCCTTAGTTTCTCCTGTGTCACCGTCACCTGTCCAAATGGTTTAGACATTTTGAAATACTGTTTTTTCTAAGTGTCATATTGTTGGTTGGATGGGGGGAAGAATGGCAGAAGACTATGCTATTGCTATGTGCTATGGTGTCAACAGTTGAAATCTTGACTCTCTTGTGATCAGTACTGGTCCTAAATATAAATCAATAGTTTTCCATTCCCAGTCTTGTTTGCTAACCTTTACATAATCAGAGTAATTCATCGTACATGTCAAGACCTTGTAATGAGATATCTCATAAATGAATGAGGTTTAACTTTTCCTCAGTTCAACTGTTTCTTTGTATTTTAAAAGGTTAGCTGTACACTGATCTTAAAAATTTCATAACCTTGCCCACAATACAGCTCATCAGTTCCAAGATAATCTGTATTGTGGGATTTTGTTCTGGGAATCCCTTTCTTCTTTGCACTTAGATCTCTTGTCTCTTTATCTTCAATCAGTTTACTTAGGAACCTGATCAGTATTGATTTAAATTAATAAATCTCTTTGATACATATAGAGATTTGACAGTGATATCAGAAGAACCACAAGGAATCAAGAGGCAGGATTTGGCTTTATTGTGTAATGGGGAATTTAAGCTGGCATTTGGTAGAGGAAAAATGTCTTGATATTTCTGTGTATCATAGCAATTAACAAATGGCTCTATGAGTAACTTTGGAGCAAGAGAGAATGAATTCCATAGAAACTAGGTGGTATTTTTTGTAGTAAACTATTTCCTGTGTCAGTGCTTTAAAACTTTTAATATTGATGGCAATCCATCTGTTTTCATATAGTTAAATCAGTTTTTTAACTGAGAATGGTTGTTTTTAACTAAAAAAAAAAAGATTGCTCTCAGTCTTTGTAGAGACTGTAAATAAAGTAAAAATTAATATAGATATGCATATTATTCTTATAAGTAGCTTGTGACGTTTTTGGTATTGTTTGTTGTTTGGATTTTTTTTTCCTCCCCCAGATGAAGCGTTCCATTAGCCACCCTGGTCCTTGCTATTCCGAAAGGTAATTTTCTATTTCATTAAGCTTTTCTCTTATGTCTCAAAAAACCTCCCTGAACCTGCTAGCATTAAAATCAAAACGTAAGAAGAATTGTTTGCTTGGGGAAAAAAAATTAAATGGCATAAATTGATCTAAGATTTTGAAAACTAAGGGTGCAGATTATCAGTATCAGTGGCAAATATTGCAACTGCAAAATCCAATACACTATAAAAATTTCTTCATGGTAGAAACTTTATGTAAATTACTTATTCTGTCCAGTGCATGAAATTTGACATAGAGCTTGAAATGCTAACAGTCTTTTTGGGTCAGTATTTCAGATTCTTGATTACTTTCTTCTGCATGCAAAGATTAGATGACATTTTTATTTCCAGTTTCAGGCTTTATGATTATGAAAATGAAAAATGTTCTGTTGAATGTGCCACTTTTAGTTTAGTATAGTGAAAACATTGATACTAACAGTTTAAGCGCTAAAATTATTTTAAAGTATATTAAATTTGTGTTGTTACAGATTTTGCTTACTAATAGATCTCATTTCTTTTGTAGGAATAATCACTCTGTGAAAGAACCAATTTCATCCCTTCACCGATTTTCGCAGTGGCGCAGAAGAACATACTCGGATACAGAATCTTACAGTGATACTCCCTTTGAAGATTCTCAGAGTAAGTTTCAAAGAAGGCTGGTTTTCTTTTGTATCTTTCTGTACAATTTATTACTCTATTTACAGCACCTGTTCTAGTGCTGATATCAGCACAAGGAAAAAAGTTTTCTTAATTACACAAAGTTTTGGTTGTAAGATTCCTATATTATAAATCATAACACTTGTGTAGTTTGTTATGTGGCTGGCTTTTGCTGGCTTTCATTCATATTGAAAAGGATCTTACAGCTGGAGTAGTTGTATTGAAATCAGTGGGACTACTGGCAAGATAAAATAGACACATAACCAGAAAAGGGATGTTTGTACTAATAGTCTTACATGAACAGTGTTCTGGTAGGTGGTGTGGAATACTGTTGTTTACCACCTGCTTGTTGTCACAAAACAAATTCTCCTTTCTGTGACCTCTGTGAGTGGCGGGGGGTAATTTCCACCCAGAGCACTGTGGAAAGACTATTCAATTCAGTGGCTGCTTGCCTTTTGTAGAGAATGGCACTGTTCTGAAAGAGTGCAGCCTTGCCAATAAATAAAAACAACCCAAAAAATCATGAAATGATGTCATGATAAGAGTATTATTCCCTCCTGATTAGATGGGTCTGCTGGGTTAAGTAGCCAGTTCTTCTGTAGTTTTTCCTTTTGAATGTTGCTGTCATTTTGACTCCCATCCTAACTCCTCTCAGGAAGACTTTAACTTGACGAGTTCTTGACTAGTTCTGGTTTAGTCTTGCTTCCTTTCGGGGTGCCTCGTGCCTCACTTGGATTGAAAAAAAACCTGATCTGTGCATTGCTGAAAGCCCATGTGAGCACAAATTGGAACTAATGCTTTACATTTTATCATGAAGCAAGTATTTGCACCTCTGCACCATTTCATTGGTTCTCTGATGCTCACATGTTGCAGGAAGACTACCTCTTTTCACCTCACTCATCTGCCATCAGCATAGCATACACCACAGCATGTATACCAAGCTAATAAACTTACTTTAGATCCTATTCTGTGTCTCATCGCTAATGTAGCTGCACATCAGTCTAGCTTCCTGTAACGCAAGGCTTTGGTTGTTACCATCTGGACCTTCTGGTATTGGTTACCCAGTCTGACTCTTTTCAGGACTGCTGAGAAGAGTCTTTGTTTTATGCGTTTCTGCTAATACCAGGCTCTTTTGGTTCCTTACTATGTAGCACTAGTTTCTAGCTCAGTTTCTGTGTTTTTTTGATTTCTTTTACTGTGTTAGAAGCTCCCTCTGCTACCTTCCAGTTATTTTAGTTCTTTCTCTTTTGTGTCAGGTAGCCTAGCAATACCCAACTTGCAGTAAGTCATCCATTTCATTTTAATAATAGAAAATGTCTTAATTGAATACTTTTCAATGCATCAGTTCTTTAACAAAAAAAAAGTTCATGTGTTCCTCATACAGAGTATGTCTGCGCCTCACAGATTTCTGTCCTTCATAATGTATAAAAAAAAAAAACAACCCCAAACTTACTTGATTTATACTAGCTGAACATTCTTCATATCCTTGATCGAAATCTTTCAGGAAAAGTCCAGAGTAATTACGCTTCTGATTGCTTATGTATAGGAAATAGTTAGCAAATAGACTAACTGACAGATTGGATGAGTTTTTTTGGGTTTGAAAATTAAATACTTATTGATATCTTCATAGGATCTACTCACTGTTCTAGAAGCGCTGTCAATGGAGATCTGGTATCATCAATCATTCCTGAAGAAAATAGATCAGTATCAAAGCAAAAGTCTGAACTGGAAGAGACTCTTTCATCCTTTTCTTCCTGAAGAAACTGAAAGTATTCAATTTTCTATAAATAATGCTATGCAAAAGCTGCTGTAATTATACTGTTGTTATAGGAAGTAGTCATTTCCCTTTTTAGAAGGATTTCTCTGCACTTTATAGAATAACATAAAAACTATCTTTGAAGTGTATTTTATCTTTATATAGTTTATTTGCAAGAGTATTTTCCTAATATTTCACAGTTTGAATGTGCATTTTTTGAAACAAATGATGGCTTAAAAGATGAGCATCCACATTTGTAAATGTAGCTCTTTTTAAAAAGTGTGAAGGTCTGACTGATACATTAGTAAACCTGCAGGTTATAAACTCCAGCAAAAAGGTTTCATTTTTTTTGGAGAGAATGCAAATTGTGCCATGGGCCTCGTGGTCATTTGTACCAGGTCATCCACCAGAAGCTGTGATTAGCCCTGCAATGGCTTTTTTGCCTGTGTAAGGGCTGTGGGAATGGGCACTAATGGGTCTACTCTAGCAGCTTGACGGTAATTGACATTGCCTTCTTTAAAAACACAAGGATATACATAATCCGGTCCTTATTTTTAGCCAATGAAAGTAGAAATATTTAGTGTATTTTTCTACACAAATGTATAAAAATAACTTAATATGAAGCATTTGTACCAAACATTGGATATTTAATAATTTTTATTTATTTATTCTTTTTTGCATCAAAATTTCTACCTACTTTCACTACTAAAGATCTACTAAAGGCTTCAAAATATGCATAAATTGTTTCTGGGGTGTGTAGCATCACAAGTAGCTAATGCAACACTTAAGATTTACTCTGCTCACTTAAAATGTGTTTTTAGCAAAGTATTATAGAAGCAAGAGCTGAAATATTAGGCCATTAAGCTGCTGTTGGAATGAATATTTGTATCTATATTATTTATGACATATTTATACAAAAGGGAGCTTCTGTTTTTGCCACTCCTTTATATCATTTGAGGATGGTGTACACCAGGCGATGAATTCTGCTCTCAGTTACATCAGTGTAAATTTACATTAACTGTAAGTGAGGTCAGAGTCTGACTCTCTTAATAATTAATGAGTAATATAGTATAACAGTGCCTACTAGCACCTTGGTCCATAAGGTTGTTAGGGTTAGCATTGTAAGCTTTTGGGGATTTCTGGGGTATTCATTTAGGGATAAACTTGGTCTATAAAGTCTTATCTGTAGAGCACTTTAAGCAAGCCATTTACGGTTTTGATTTACACAGTTGCTAAATAAATGTACAGGGTTTTTTGCACTCAAGCAGATACCAAAATCTGTTTTTATAATCAAATCTTCTTTAATTTGGTTTAACTAGTCTTCCTTTTGTGTATATGAATAATTTGGTGGTTTTGAAGCAAGCTGGAAAGGACAGAGGGGAATGGAATGGAAGCTTTCCTTATAAATTTCTGGAATCTTGATTTATGTGAATCAAAACAGGTCCAAATGTTGAGGAAAAACCTATGAGCTGTTGCATGTATATAAAATACCAGTTTATAAACCATTATGTCAGGATCAAATGGAATGGGATGGTTCAAACAAGTGAAGTTATTTGTGGATACCAGTTCAGAGCTGTCATTTGTGCTCAGTTCTGTCAGTTTTCATGCAACTAGCATTTGCATATGCATATCAGCCACACATGCTTGTACATTTTTTTCTGAATGTTTGCTTTAATGTATTCTGTATTACACTTACAGCAATTGTAAAAACAAGTATTAAACCAGATGTTCAGAGAAGCAAACCATGTATTGCAATGAGAGCATTTTGTCTTGAATTATATGCTGTCATAGAGCTGCTTTTTGAAATTTCACGAAGATTTCTGCCAACTTGTACAGTGTTAAGTATATGTCACATTAACAGATATCTTTTACTGGCTTTCCACTACTACAGAGGAAATAGTTTGGACTCCACCCTGTGTAAAAAAACTCTTGAGACTCATCAGTGCATGTAGTAGTAAATAATAATATTAAATACTGCCACAGATAGGATTGGTTAGACAAAAGTTGTAATGATTAGATTCAAGCACAAAATTTGCATATAATTACATCAGCACTGTTTGGGTTTCTCCATGTCACTAAAGATGGAATGATGGCTTTGTGTACATGTAACATGTTCATGTTAAAGTTAATTCAGCCTTTATATATATACCTGTGATAAACTCTGTGGCAAAAATCCTAAAAGGTATTTCAATGAACTCAATGAAGATAATATGCCACCATACTTTTGGCATCTGGAGCTAAGAATTAATTTCTGAAAATGATTCTTAGCTGGCTGAGTGATCCATGTGATGATCCATATGTAGTAAGACTAAAAAATACCTGGATGCTCTTACATTTTCATTTCCGAGTTTAGGGGAGAGCATATCAGGAATCATTATTCTTTCTGGTGGAGAATGGGAGCTGAACCTCAACATAGACTGTGTGATTAGTACTCCTAGTTTTGATCTCACTTGCTTCTGAAGAGATCAATCTGGAACCAATTCTTTTTTTTAAATAGTATTTATCACTTAAACAGTATAAGCGTACTACATATAGTTAGATGAGAAGTGGTGATAACTTCTAGTTCTTCTGAGTTATACCTCTGAAGTCTCTAACATCAGATAATTAGAAATGGAATGTGCTTAAATAGCTTACCAGCTTGTACTGTAAAGAATTAATGATCAGGCACTCATTGTATGGAGATTTGTGATTACTGAGATTACAATGTTCAGATGTTCAGAGGCTTTAAACTTCTTAAAATTAATATTTGTATTTCTTTCCACTTAGTGTATAGTAATTCAGCTTGACTTTTTAATTCTGCGCCCCCCCCCCCCCCGCCCCGAGAAAGCATCTTTGGGATAGGAATACTTCAGAGGTTAAATAAAAATTTAAAAAAAAAAAAAAAAAAAAAAAAAAAAAAAATTTAAAAATTGAAATCACAGCTGTTTGTGTTAAACTATAAACTTCAGTTTTGCTTGTTAGCCACCATCAGTTTAAGTATTGTAGTGTGGCTGTTGCTCCTGCTGGTGTAAGTTAATAACTTTTTAAAGAGGTATGATGCCTTAAGAAAGGAAATGTCTGTGTCTGAAAACTGTTTTTTCAGATGTTCCTCATTACCGTGCTTTTTAAAAATGTGAAATGTGAGTTTTTAAATGTGAGTTAATGTGAAACCTGCCTGTTATGGGTGTTTCTTTACTGGCTGCTTTGAGGGCTGAACCTAAGAGATCCAGATCTAGAAGCGAAAGTTACTGCTGAAAGGGGATTTATGTAGCACCTGGGTGCCCAAATCCACAGTTGCCATTCTGAAGATCTCTGCTGTTTAACATTGAAGACCAAAGGATCACGTAGACTTTTATTCTACTTGTAAAGCTCCCCAGATGACTGTAACTGTCTCTGTACATCCTTAGAATTGCCACTGTCTTGGAAGAACTTGGCCCCTTAGCAGGTAACTTAAGCAGTGAACTAAGAGTTGGAAACTAGGCATTCCTCTGCCCATACTGGGGGGACACCAGTGCTTCACTATTTTGCAAACAATGTCTTAACACACTAAATGGAACAAGCTTACTAGAAGATAAAGGCTTGCACCTTAAAACATTATAAAAGAAATGCTTTACTTCTGCTCTTCCCACTGTGTATGTATAGTAGTGATTAGAAGGTGTCATTTAGGAATTTAATTTACTTGCCATTTTGACATTTGTTAAGTCTGGATGAACAGTCCAGATGATAGATTGTTGTTTGGCAAGTGCATATACACCCACAGCCATATCCTGACGATTCTAACCAGCACACATATGGGAGAGAAGGCTAAAGATGAAAGCACAACTGTATCTTATAGATGTGTTTTTAAAAAAAAAAAAAAAAAACAACCAAAAAAACCCCAGGCCTCCTTCAGCTTTTTCAAAGGGAGGGGTAAACAGGCATCTCCAAGACTGTCAGTTATAGATATCAAAGGTAATACTCTAAATCCTGTTGAGGGACAGGATTTCAGAGTGTCTCTTCCCTTTGTTTCATATTCTCTTATGATAAGTACTGCTTTGGCTACTTCTGTATCTTCCCTTTCTCAGTGCACTCAATAGACTGCCTAGGCATTTTCCACAAAGTGTGGGTTACAGTTGCAGAAGCAGGTCGTAATTACCTTACGTGAGTCTGACTCTTTAATTTTCCATGCACTGACTGTCACTTGCTGACATGTCGGAGTGCCTTATTGTCTTTGTGATCCCTTGTACTGCTGCTCTTAGTACTATGGCATTTTCAGTGGTTTTGACTGTGTTATGCTTTGGGTTTTTTAATAGACATTAAATATTCTGATTATTACTATTTTTTTTTTAAATCCAAGCTCTAAAACATTATTATCTTCAGAAAGAGGGAAAGAAAAGCAAACAACTAGAGAACATTCAGTTTTGATATTTTATCAGACTGGTGAGGTTTTTGTGTTCTGTTCATATAATTTTCTCCCCTTGAAGGGAAAAGTCGTTGAAACTGGAGATGATGGTAAAAATTGAAATGCACCGTTAAGACCAGAGTTTCTTGTCTGCTAGCAGTAAAATGAATCTCTCAGTATTATTGTGACTATCCACCATCACAGTTATTTTTCTCAGGCTGCCAGATATAAAATGTAGAGAATGTATAGCCCTGTAATAGAATTTATACAACAGCTCATAGAGATTTGTCAAAAAATTTTTCCTTATGCATCAGGACCCAGGAAACATGAAGGCCCAACGCCTTCACACGCATATCAGTGGTAGGATATCTTTCTGAACTTGGTCCTGTAGTGCAATGGATTTTTATCTTTAAAGACAGCAACTGTAAGCTTATACAGTTAAAAAAATCCCAGTATTTGACCTGAATATAATAAGCAAATAATTTGAAGTGTTCATTGCTCACTTTGTTTGTTTTTCATTCAGAGACTGCTCAATCTATTGTCTCAAAAAAATGTTACTGTTTAGGGATGAGTTCTCTGAAACTGAATATTGAATCTTTAGGTTGTGACTTTGTCACTCTGTATTAGCATTTGCTTAGTAGTCTTTTGAAAAAACACTGGCTCAGCAGGTTGGCATGTAAATTTATCTATTAAAACTGTGCTTCAGCAAAACCTGTAAATACTTTTTAATTCCTGTTTTTAGGCATGTGACTGATGCATCTGCTTAAAGTTAGGTGTGCTTGCTTAAGTACTGTGCAGAGTTGGGCCAGAGCGATACAGGCAGAGTGAACTTGCTTACACTGCCATAGCAGTGTGCTTTCCTCTCTGGATCGAGTAAATATGTCTAGACTCAGTAGAGGCCATGAAAGACCGCATTTCCAGTAGAATTTGTGGAGAAGAGTCCATGCTTAAATCTGCAGATGCTGCCTGTCACTATTAACTCTCTGG